GAAAGTCATCGATAGTTGCGTGTTTGGGTATGGAACCCTACAGCCATGAGAAAGCGTTTCTCGTGAAAGGAAATTCGAGAATTCCGATAAGCTTCCATTGCAAGTCGACAATGACTGAAGTTAGAATCTATCGAGCCGAAGCACGACCAGAACCGGTAGAGACTGTCAAAAGGACGGTGAATCGAGTTGAGATTAAAGAAGGACTAAGAGAATGTTTGGATCGTGAAAAATGGACAGATGGATGGTTCTTCCTGCCAGATGGGAGACCGGCAAGCTTCGATTGGTCAACAAAGACGGCATGGAATTTCCGTTCAGAACGGTATTCTATGGACCTAGCGATGGAGATGAAATCTTGTGGAGCGAGATGGAAATGTTCGCGTGTGCCGAAGAATGGCAAGGTTTCGAAGTGATGGAGTTTGAGAAAGTCGAAGATGTCGTGATTACGATCCTGGAACGAACGCCGCAAGAAGTTTCGAGATATATCCACGACCAGAAGTGCAAGCTGGTCAAGCATCGACAACTACTACGCCAACGGTGACTAATGGCCAGGAAATGCATGTCCCTGCGGATGCCATGTTAGCGGATGTGGATGTGGAGCTAATGCCTGAGTTGACTGAGTCAGTGCGCAGAGCTATGTTGACCCCGGCAGTGAGGTGGTGGCTGCATAGGATGCAGGAGTCAGAAATCACGCAGCATCAGGCACAAGTGCTATTCGGTGACCAAATTGCGGAGGGCATGGCGCTATGGTTATCTTTGCAGGCAGACATTGACGTGGAAATCCGCAACTGTGCTGACTTTGGGGTGGCTATGGTGGATCATGATGCTCCAGGGGCGCACGAAGAATCGGGGTCGGAAGAAAGTGTTGCCGCCCAAGTCTATGAAGCAACCAAGTCGGGTGGAGTATGTGGTGCTGATGAAGGGCTTGAGCAGGCTGCAGGTGAACTGGAAGCGGTTGATGAAGGTTCAGCAATGCGTGAAGGGTTAGAAAGTGGGACTGAAAACGGACAAGTGGTCGCTGCTGAAGGATTGCGCTGAAACCGATGGACTTGAAGAGGTCAATGCTTGTAGTGTGTTACGCGTGCGTCATGAATGACAATCTGTGAGCACCAAACTTGAAACCCCAAAGCGTGAGGATGTTCACGTCTTTGCACTTATTCATCCGTGGCCGTTTGGGTTCTAGTTTGGTGCCCCTTGTGAGTCGGACACCTTGTGTCCCAGATTTCTTTGAGCCATTGCCGGCTCCACCTCTACCGCCAAAGACTCGCAGGAGCACCAGCTCTTTTGCCTGGCTCAAAACTGCTTGTGGGAGCAGTTCACCGCCGAGGGCCGGCGCACCAATGGCGGCATCTGTCGCTACATTGCTGATCTTAGGAAGGCCGCCGCAGGCCTTCCCTGGAACGACCTCTTCCTTCACCTCAAGGACAAGTTGGCCGGCCCCCGCCGCGAGGACTTTGCCCGATTGGTGGCGGAGATTGTCCACCTGCGTTCACCTCCTCCATCATCTTCATCTTCAAGCTCCACCGCTACCTCGGACACCGAGCTACCTGAACCAGCATCCTCATCTGGTCTGCGCCGGAATGACTGCAGGATCGCCGTGCGTGAGGTCCTCAATCCACCTATGCAGATCCTCGCCGAATTCCAGGAGGACCTCCCCATGGGCATGCAGCGCGAGTTCCTCTTGGGCCACCGAAGAGTCTGCCCCGATGTTGCAGACCTCATTGTGAATGCATCCACCCTGATTTTGTAGACCACGCCTGAATCCCCCTAAATTCCCCGTGTCGTAACTTCTTTAGGGGCACTGGCTCCGCAAGATTTCACCTGACTCCACCATCGCCTTGCAACACGGCAAATACTATTGCCCCCACTGCCTGTGGCGTTACCGCTGTACTTCCAGCGCGAGACCTGGGGCCCCAACCACGTGCAGGACATCATCTACCGCAACCAAGCAGCGACCTCCTTTCCGGCTGGACCTCCTGCCCACCATCTTCAACGAGGCCTACAATGACCCTATGTGTTAAACATGTAATTTACATGGCGTCCCACGTGTGATTGACTAATAGCA